TGCTTCTCGTCTGCTCTTCTTGCCTCTAGGATCTCCGCCTTCGTCATCCAAGGTTTGAAGGCAATGGAGTGCCACCGTCCTCGGAGTTCAACCGTCGCTCCCTGCTCGTTCTTCATCCAGTCCGCAACCTTCTTGTCCTTGGCGATGTAGGAGAGTACATTACTGGACTCAATACATACTCTACCCCATGATTGAGGGGTCAAATTTTTCATCCCCTAGCCATATATCTTCATGAGCATGGATTACATCCTCCTTGATTTTCTTCTGGAGATTCTTCGAGCCCTCTTGGAAGATCACGGCTAGTGCCCGTTCTTTAAGCCAGTTTACCTTGATTTCATCGAGAGATGGATTCAGGGTAAAGTAGGCCTTCGGACCTTCCTCTCTCATTTCTCCTATGTCCCAGCCTGTGGGGAGAATGCCTGCGTCAAAACATTTAGAGAGCGTATCTCGAACGCGATCCTCCTCCGCCCAGTAATTTGTAATGGGGGGGGGTCTCGATTCTGTTGACGTCCAACATCCTCCTCTTCTCCAGGAGTCCGTTGGACATTGGTTTCTTTGCCTATGTCAGCTCCCACCATTCCTACATTGTGCGACGGACCCGGAGCCCGGTCGCCCCCTTGACCTTCGTCAACCTCCATGCTGGTACTTCCCCTACCGAGCGTGCTCCGTCTTGTCTCAAGTCTTTTATCCTCATTCTTGTGTTCGTTCACCACCTTAATATTCTGAACCCTGTCAAGAGACAGCTACAGTGTGTGATGTCCAGGCTCATTCGGGTATCCTACAGCGTCATACCTCGAGGGTTGCCACGGGACAGGGCTGGACACGAGGGCGATGGCTAGCGGACATGGCCGCCATGTCACGTCGACGATACCTAGCACTCCACAAGGTCTGCAGGTACTAGGCGTCTAGGTCGGCTGACACCGGTGGGCAGCAAAACCGAGCGCTATTTTTGCGTCATGAAACGGTACCTCCCCCCGCCTATTTTCGGTCGGAGTTTTTATCTCGGCGAGGTAGGGGGGGGAAAAAAAAAAAATGCGAATACCGAAGATGATCATGAACACAGTGGGGCTCGTTCGACACTCCTCAAGTCATCCTCGGGGCCCGAGGAAATTTTCCCATCGTCGCCCGAGGAAATTCGCTCCGTCGTTCCACTCATCCTCGGAATGGTTCCCCGAGGACGATTTCTCAGGGGCTTCCGCGGCCAGTTTCATATGTCGACAAGCGGACGCGGCGGGGGGCGCGAGGTTGGTCCAGCGAGGTGTGTTCGTGCCGACGTCATTTGTCCAGCTCGAGTGGGCGTCACAAATTCGAAAGTCGGCGGCGTTAAAAAAAAACACGGCATTGGAAAAGGCGCGCAATCCCAAATTCGAATTTCGAAATTCGAAATTTGGCAAGCGAGTGACAGCGGTGTGGGCGTCCCTTGCGGCTGACGGCCGCAACGTTCCTCGACGGAAGCGTTTGGGTACGGGGTGGCGGCTGCTTGAACGTACATGTGCGCATCCGAAGCAGCAGACACGACGCCACACGATCGCCATTGTTGTCGTCTTCGCAGGCACACCTTCATCGCCGACGTCTACGCCGTGCACTCCGGTTGTCACTCGCACCATCGCTGTAGTGCGCCCCAACGCTCCTGGAGTCTTCTGTACTTGGCGACGTCCATGTCGACAGTACCAGTTTCAGCCTTGGACAAGAACAGGGACGCAGGTCGTGACACACTGAGCACGACGGAGAGGACGGTGGTGGCAGCGGTCGTGAACGCCATCCTCTTCCAGTGTCAAAAGGAGAGGAGCGAGGGGAGGATGAGAGCGGCGGTTCGCGCACGACGGCAGAGGACGCTGCAGTCCATGAATATGGACGACTTCGACACTGCTGCCATTTGCGACATCGTGCTGCAGGTGTGCTACGCCATGGGTTGTGGAGCTTTTCCCAGAGCGACGCCCAGGTGGTGGATGAAGCGACGGACAGGGGGGACGTAGGAGGATCTGCGGCATTGCGACGACGCGACGACCGACTACTTCAAGCAGAAGCTGCGCATGTTGCCACGTGTGTTCCGAGAGATCGCCGAAGCTTTGTCTCCCTTCCTTCAACGGCGTGTCACTTTCTATAGGGAGCCCCTCCAGCCTGACCATATTGTTGCGTATGCTTTGTACAGGTGGGCGTCGGGGGAGACGTACGAGAGCGGGACATGCAGCTTCGGCATTGGCAGATCTTCTGGGTTGGTGGTTGTGCAGGATGTAACTGAGGTGTTGCTGAGTGCGTACCCCGACAAGATATCGTGGCCGACAGGGCTGCAGAAGGCGGTTGTCTTGCGCGCTTTCGCCGACAAGGGTTTCCCTAACTGCCATGGGTGCATCAACAACACCCACATCTTCATCGACAAGCCAGCAAATTGCCCCGGGGAGGACTACTATGATAAAAAACGTCGTTTCTCCGTCCAGGCGCAGGTGGTCGTCGATCTGAACTTGCGCGTGCTGCACGTGTTCGTCGGTTATCCGGGAAGTGGCCATGACGTGAGGATCGTCCACCTATCGAGTTTATGGGCGTGGGCAGAGGCAGGGGAGCTTTTCACCGAGCCACCTGTCATGTTGCCTTTCGATGTGCAAACGAACAGGTATTTGTTGGGCGACAACGGTTATCCCCCCTCCGAATGGGTAGTCGTCCCCTATGGCGGCCTCGCATAGCACCCGTTGGAGTTGCACTTCGACAACAAGCAGAAGACGGCGAGGGGAGAAGTTGAGAGAGCTTTCGGGAGACTGAAGGGGATATGGAGGTTGTTCCTTCGCTCCCACAAGACGAACATGGACGCGTTGCCGCAACAGTTCGTCGTCGTGTGCATTCTGCACAACATACTCATCGACGCGGGCATCCCTTCGACGACAATCTACTGTGGGAGGTCGGGCCGGATGGTGTGCGTCGCAGGGTGCATCTTGGGATGCAGTGGCCCTTGAGGCCGATGTGTATGGAGTCGTCGACGGGGGATGCGCAGATTATGCAGAACGCGCTGGCGGAGCGAATCGGTGCACTGTAAAGACGTGCAGGCGTGCGGAGCGAGCGGATGAGATGACGTGGCTGCAGCGAGAAATCAGAGGAGACGACACGGGGAGCAGGCGAAGAGTTTGTGTGTCGTGCATGAAGGGGTGGTTAGTTCCCCCTTCCACTGGCGGTAGCGTGTCGTCACGATATTGCTGGCCTCCGATCTGGTGGCATTGGGTTGTGGTTCTGTCCACAGCGGGAGGCGTCGTGTCCTTGAAGGGGTGGTCATCTGCATTGGCGTCGTTGTGTGTGTCGCCCCGTTTTGTGGAACTGGGGAGTTCATGGCGTGGTGGTTGTTTTGATGTGGATTGGCGTGCATGAGGCAGCGTGTGTAGGCAGTTTAGTTTTGTGTTGTTTCGGAATGTGTGGCCATGAGGAGAGTGTCGACGGCGCGGGTGGATGGCGATAACGCAGTTGAACGTGTCGTCGGCGGGGGCGACGTCACGAGCGTGCGCGTGCCGATTGTAGTTCTTATGTAGTATGCTGTCACTGCGGGTGACGTGTCTGGGTGACAGAGTCGAATCCGGCGGTGTGTGTTCTGTTTTCCCGAAGTTGGGATTAACGTTGTCATGGACGCTACATTTTTTTCCAAAGTGTGTCGTCCTCTGCTTTTACTGCGAGTCACAACAATTTAACAACATTTCATATCACTTATTTCTGTTGTGTGGCTTGTCCTCTTATTTGACGCCGATTGAAACGACAATATTTGCACGACGTTGTGTGTGTCATTTCTATTGCCTTGAATCCTTCTTACATTTGCAATGTCGTCATTGTTTGTATCGAGTTCCCAAAGCCTGCTATGAACATCCCTCACTTTGTGATCATCCATCATTTCAAGAAAGCAGCCCTTACCCCTTTCCATCCCCCTTACCATAACAGATAGAAATTCGAATGAAACCGGAAAAAAAGCAAGCACCGCAAAGCTGTAGACTTCATGAATAACATTGAACAATTAGATGTTCGCTTTTAATTTAACAGATGACAACATAGATTATCCATTTCCGAAACAAAAAACAAAAAAACAAGGAAAGGTTCATGAAACACCCCTACGACAACCGATCCGCCACAGCAATGACCCGCAACACGAGACTGTCCCCTCCCATGACCGATTAACCCCCCAGAACGC